TTTTCACCCCCCCCCCCCCCAACAGTTGACTTGAGATACAGAATTTTCCTCCATCCAATACAATAGAACAAGCCTCAACTCATATTTCAACACTAAAAATGGATAAAGAAAGCAAAAATGCCTGGTAGAATATACATTACAAATGGCATATAGGAGGGGCCCATCTAAACCTACCACAACCTCCAACAAAGCATATGTAGATGCTACTCACCATATATCCATCCACAAGTGCTCATTTTTCTTTAATACAAATGTATGCTTCTGGTAAATTCAAAACATAACGGCTTAGACTCTCTCTTCAAAATTATGTAGCGATTTCATCGACCTCAGAGTGGAAAACAAAGCTTGGAAATGTGGTGGTTATATCCCTGCATTTGATCACAACTACTACAATGATTCAAGCGTGTAACTTTTAGAAAAGTTCGTGCAACTTAAAAAGTAACTTCACATTTTTTTTAGGCTTAGCCAGGGATAACATCAAGATACCTCAGATATGAAAGTGTCATTATCTTCATTACTGAAGGATTTCGCTCCACATAATTGTGCCATTCAGATTTGTCTATTTTACCGTCCCGGTCTATATCTGCTTCAAGAAATGTCTGTTCAAGGAAGTAACACGAAAAGAATGAAATCTTGTGATAGAATCACCTCATGACATAACTATTAAACACAGTGCCCCTATAATGCAAGAGCATCGAATTCTAGAAAAATATTATTTAAAAACTCCCATTAAAAAACAGAAGGCTAGGATTCTGCACTACCCAATTAACAAGCCAAACAAAGACCGGCATCAAAATATACCAAGATCAGACATAAAAAAAGTGGACCCCTTTTCTTAGTTTTGTTTATTCTTTCTCTCTACTTATAAAACTTCCAGGGTAAAAAATATTGGAAATGGTAACCCTTAAGCCAGTCATAAAAACTTATGAAATTATAGCCATGAATAACAATTCAGTGGAAGAGCAAAGGAGTTTGTGCATAGAAATGTCATTTAAGATATGGCAGTGTACCTTATCAAGTATTATCTCAATACTTTCATCTGTCAACTTCATTTCAGACTCACATAAAAGGGCAATCAACATTAGCTTAACCTGCAGAAATCATAGACCATGCAACTAAGTGTCAATAAAAATAAAAATATAAGATTAATACCAAGAGGGTTGACAGGATCAGTATAGAGAAAGGGGCAGCTTGCATTTTCTTTTTCTTTTCCATTTTTTGCCATTTGATGGGGGGTACGTGGTTGGCACCAGGGGAAGCTAGACACAGATTGGTGGTGATAACTGATAAAGGTAGCGACATGAGGAAGATTTTATAAAACCACATTACATGGACTCATACAGGTACAATGGTGCATGATCAAATATTGGCTCGTTGAAAATCTACCATTTCATGTTTAAAATGAAAAGTTCTCCATACCAAACCCATGTTTGGGAAGTGCTTATAAATGGTTCAAATTTTAAATAAATAGAAATGATGTTTGGGAAGTGCTTATAAATGGTTCAAATTTTAAATAAATAGAAATGAGAAGTAGATAAGTGGGGTATTACTTATAGGTACCACGAAATGTGGGGATAGAAAGTGAATTAACCTCTTATAGACAGTTTATAAATATTAGCCAAACATGGGCTTAGTATTGTTTTCACGGGATGTATAATGAATTGTGATGAATTAAAATTAAACTACCTCTTGGCGTTCGATGAATCCTGTACCATCTAAATCATATAACTTAAATGTAACTGCAATGTTCCAAAAAATTCAAGAGTTACGAAAAGATTCTGCACTATAAACTAAAAGGTGAATAATGGGAAAAACAAGAGGAATCACAAACTAGCGTGGTATTTCTTTCTAACTCACAACTGATTTTATCTTCTTGAGGTGCATTTGGGTGAAAAACATTGAGTGATCTGACGAAGTCACCAAAATCAATAAACCCCTTTCTCTTCACATCAAAGAGATCAAATATCTGCAAGTGAAAAAGAATTATCATTATATTGCAGAAGCATACGAGCAGTCAAAATAAAAAAAATAAAAAAGGAAGCCTATCAATACTTAATTAATTGACAAAAGATAAACAGAAGCACCCTTTAGAAGTTAAAAAGTTCGGGACTATGTAATCAGGGTTTAGGGAGATCAGTGTCAGAGACCCCAAGTTACTAAGTAAATCAAAGTGAAACAACTATCACAAAATAGGGACGTGCTTTCCCCCATACAACGAAGATAACAAATTAACTTAAGTTTTTAACCCTTTCTCGTGCCTAGCAAAGTCGAGGAAAGAAGAAATTTACAGTTAATGAAATAATCATTGTTCACATAACATCTATAGGCGAAAGCTTGGTTTTGAGGCCAGATATAATGGAAAGAGGGTCTGCTGCACAGTTCAAGCAATACGATGTCTCGTTGCTCTCCCAGCTAGAAAACCTTGCGAATCTCCCCCCTCTTCTTCCTCGGCTAGCTCTCTCCTACTAGCCTTAGGGGGAAGAGGGGCATCAAAAATACTCTGTTGGTGGATTAGGCATGATTATTTTGACAAGTGTTTTATGTAATTTTCCAATCATGTCTTTAGATACTTAATACACAGCGGTTAGACACCCTTTATGTTATTAATTTTTGTGTGTATGAATATAAAAAATGGAATTCCACCCTAAATTTGGGAATCCAGTAAAGAAAATAAATGCATTTAGTTAAAGGCAGATAGAATATTGTTTGGTGGACCAACTTCACAAATTCCCAGTCAGCCAGACAAACTACGAGCAGTTAGATTCATATTGCTTCAGTTAAGTGCAATTATACCCTTTCAAGACAATCAATAAATAAATTGCTTTCCATAGAAACATCCATTTGTTGAAGGTTCTCTAACGCTCAAAAAAGACAAAATAAAAATGAAACAGAATAAAAGAATTAAACACATACACCAGTTGCTAATACAGTAGACTAACTCCCATGTTTACTGGTTGGTTAATACTTAGCGCTCGTTGAAAGTGATTTTTTTAAAATAAAATGAATGTAGGGAAAAGTGTTATTTATTTATTTATTTGTTTTTATTTATTTATTTATTTTTGAGAATATGTGGTTGAAAATGAATGTAGGGAAAAGTAATTTTCACATAAGCAATAAATAGAAAAGTCAACCAACTCAATAAACCTAAATATCATGCAGCACCATACCCGATTTGCAAAAAGATTCTCTCTCTTCCTGTTCTTGAACAAAGCCAATTGAAATTCTTCCTGCGTTTCAAAAATGGTATTGAGTTCATATTTACACGTCATTAGGCACAAATAATTCAAATAGTTAGCACAATTCAGATGGTATTGCTGGTATTTCTTCTGGAGGAGCAATAATCATATTAAATTAGAAAGACAGAAATAATATCCAATGGAGAAAACTGAAAAAAATCATGTAGTTTCTCACGAAATAATTATTTTGAAAGCAATCCCATGTCCTGGCGACACCTCCATTTAGTGATACTTGTTTAGATATTCATACAATGTTGATAAAAAACCACTACATCGTAACAGAGATCAACGTGAGCATTGAAAATAATTTCAATTATTTACAAATCACAATTAACATTTTCACATCGAAGTTAAAACAATAGCTCAACATAAAAGTACGTTAACAATTTGAAAAGAAAAATAGTGGTTCCCAACTTTTCTACGAAACTAAATCTAGTGTACTGCAGATGATCTAAGATAACTTCTCTTCAAGTACAAACTAATAGAGCATAGACACATACAAATACTGGTTATTTGCATGAGTAAATACCATGTGATGGGAAAAATTGCAAGAGAGTATTGCAATTGCATTTACTTCATGTAAGTCATAGAGTCACGAAATCTTCCAAAAACCAATGTGCTATATATTCTCATGATAAAAGAAATGCCAGAAACAAGAAGCTTGAGAACCAAAAATTACAGTGAAACATCACATGAAAAGAACAAGGCAGCTTGAGCTTGGTTGATGTTCAGTGAAAATCACCTTATTTATTAGGCCATCATCAATCACAGAGCCACTAATGCTCTTATACAATTCATATAGTGCTTCAACTTCACTAACACTAACTGCAAAAGAAAGAACAGATTTACTAGTTTTTTTATTAATACATAATCAACAACATCACAAAAAACACAAATAAAACAACAATCCTGAATGATAAGCAAATGAATGACTGCCTCAATGGCTTGGTGCATTTTATATGCAAAATTAAATGAAAAAGTAGGGTAGTGCATAAACTATCTCTGCAATTTTCAACCATATATAGACACAAACAGAAGCATTTCCAAAACTTAAAAAAGGAAAAAAGAAAAAAAAAATAGAAAGTTAAGTGAAAAACGAAGAATGAAGAAAGCTAGAACAAAGAAATATATCTTTAGATCATGCAAAACCCAAGATGAGAGAGAGAGAGAGTAACAAAAAAGAGGCCATCAAACAATTCGTTTATTCATATAAAGTCAATTTCCATCCAAGATCCGAGCCAGAAAAAGAATGACACATGACAAACCAACTATAGACAACCTCAACTACCCATGCCTCATATCTAAGAAAATACATTATTTCGACTTGATAAACTAAGTAAATCAGCAAATGTCTTGCTGTAAATCAATTTCGTAACATTTGCACTCCCGCCCAGATAAAATCTATATCCTTGATAAAAATTACTTTACTTGTGTGTTAGCATGTCAAACTCACGTTTTTTCATGAACCTAAAACACCAAGTCTTTCTGAATTAGAAATGAA